AGAGTTGTGTCCAATATTGTAATCCGTTTTAGTCGTTTTAAAGAAATGAAACCATTATGTGGAATTTCTTTCACTAGTTTTGCTTTCCATGCATAAAATAGGTTTTATGTATTTTTTTATAGTTCTTTATATAGTTTTAATATCATTTCAACGTGTGGCCCAAGTATATCAATATAATAACTTTTCGTGTTTTTAAATAAATAAATAAATAATAAATGTCTAAAAGCCTCAACCATGACACATCGAGGTCGTGACTCAGTTTGTTTGTATACTAAAAATAGCTATACTATAATTAACACTTATTTACTGGAAACGAGGGAAACAGCATGTTTTGTGGTCCCGAGACCGCTGATGAAACATCAGCGGTCGAGGGACCGCAAAACATACTGTTTCCCGAGGTTTCCAGTAAATAAGTGCTTTATTATCATATCAAGTGTTAAAGAGAGCAAAAAAAGTAAATAAATGAATTGTTTTTATCAAAGATTTTGATAAAATAACTGAAAAATGGCAATACAAATAGTCACTAAAATCAATCAATGTAATAACACAATGAATACTAATTTAACTATGTGTAGTCGAAATTAAATGTTTCATAACAATTTTGGAATTGCAACGTCCGTAAATGTGACATTTTCACGACACTGAAGATTGTTTTTCTGCGACTTTGTACTTATTGACGGTCCACAACATATTATTGACCGCTGACAGGGCCGTAGCCAGGGTGAATGGACAACCGAGGCAAGCGGCCGCCGATGGCGATKGCGGGAAAAACTAGGGGGGTCTGGGGGCATTCTCCCCCTAGAAAATTTGAAATTCAGTCTCTCRGAAATGCAAGTTGYAGCGTTTTGTGGGCCTTTTGGTAACTCTTTATTGAACAGATTTAACCGGAATTCATCATGCAATATTTATGAAACAAAGAAGCTACACGTACAAAAATAACATTATTTTTATATTTTTTGCACAAAATCAGTCGTGYGAAATCGGCTMTGAGAGGCTAAGATAATATTAGTGATGAARAACAAAMAKCATYRGCAAAMTYTTACCGAGGCGAGTGCCTCGGTTGGCCTCTTACTAGCTACGGCCCTGCCGCTGGTGGACAGTTGCCGGGAAACAGTAAAATTTTGTGACTTTCACGTGGTACACTCTCGACCAATAAGATACTAGGAAAAGTGAACTTTGACACTTGATATATAATAAAGTGTAATACTGCAAAATAAAGAGCAATAAAGTGTAGTACACKTAAGTGCATTTTACTGTTTGAGAAAACCATTCTATGAACACCACTCTCTTATTTATTATCAAGTGACAATCAAGGTTAAAAATCTCTTGTTTTGTCATCCAGATGAAGCTTTTTTGACGTCAAAAATATTAAGCGCAATCGATATTGCATTTGGTCTTGCGATATCTATATCAAGAAAGACTCGTTTTTGGACAATATGGTAATTGATTGGATGCAATTGACGTAATAACTATAAGACAATATTATCCTAAAGCATGGAACTATTTGTTTTTCGGAACATACAGTTTCAACATAATGCCTTCAATTGAACTACTCAATTATTAAACTAGGTACAAATCACTTAGAAACTATTTGATGGCATTTCATTGAGACAGTACGCGCACTCTTATTACTATCACTGTAAATTCCCATTTGTATAAATAGTAATTCAACATCCTCTTCACTGCGCCTGTCAAGCCTTTTGAAGTGAGGATTAGACAAGCAGTCCTTATTGACATTCCTCGGATGCTTTTATCTCCAAGCTGATTTTTTACTTCCGTGTCAAACAAGGTCCAGRCGATCAAATTTAACTTCGTAAGCGGCGAAGCTGTAGCTAAATGATGTTTTGCCTTCTTTTATGTATTTTTCTAGGCCTTGGCGCTTTAACTGTTAAAGGTAAGTGTATATGAATATAACGAGTTGCTTGGTAGAGACTTGCAGAGCAACGGGGTTATTTAAAATACGATATTCGACTGTATCTCTTTTTAAAATTGTGGCAATTTGAGCCTCGTGGAACTGCGTACTCACGCACTCGTGAGCGGAAATAGTCACTGCAGCACTCGATATAGGCAGACTTTCCATATTTGCATGGTCTGCTGAATAGTGAAGTGAAATACAAAGGCAAAACGCGAAAAGACTCGCGAAATTGTTCATAAACATTTATGTTCATAAAGCTTTGCATTGTAACATACGGGGCTTATTCACTGTTTAAACAACCAACAATATTACTTCTACTGTAATAGTACGTTACAAAAGTATACAATATGTAGGTCTGTAACGGTGCTGAAATTGCTATCCATTACTTTTTGTCCAATTTGGAATAATAGACGGTATGATTAAACCTGTATAATCAAATATCGAGATATAAAAAAGCAGGCTTTGTAATGCGGTTCTGCTCTACTACGTCTTACTCTTGGTTCTCATTCACAGGGTGTCATACTAATCTAAAAGGAGAAAGTGGGAAGTTCTCAATTGATAAAACCCATAATGGGTACAGATCAAACTGTTCATGGACAATCGGCAAAGGCGTAAATAATATCGACTTCATAGTCATTAAATTCACGCCGTTTGACCTGGGATGGCGTTGCATGTAAGTGACGTTTTGACAAGTATAAAGTTACGTCTGTACGACATTGGGACATCTGCACTCGGCTCATACATGTTGATAGCTTTAACGGTATACAAAACATGAAGATTGCTTGCACTGAATGAAATGATCTTCTTTACAAGTAATGCTCATGATGTAACATCTTTAGTTAAATGCCATTTGAATTTGAATGTGCTAAAAATCTCCTTCTGTCTTGGCTTCGATGGTATCACTTTTTGCAACCGGACATTCTTTTTTAATTAGGTGTCTAGTACCGCGATTTACTTCATTCACAAAACGTTCTTTTGCAGCAGAAAATAGTTACGTGAACACAACTTCATTTTAAACCGGGCAAAACTCAGTTAAGTCAAGTGCAGCGTCTCCAAACCGCAATAGCCGACTTGCGAATTACGCATGATCAATAGTCACATACAAAGGAATCAAGACGAGGCGCCGTGCTAAAGACAATAGATTTTTCACAAAAAAGCACGGCGCCTCGTCTTGATTCCTTTGTATGTGACTATTGATGCGTAATTCGCAAGTCGGCTATTCAACAATGCTTCCCTTCATTATTCTGCGGTCTCTCTCTCAGCTCCCTCTTTCCTCCTCCCCCCCTCTCCCTTCCCCCCCTCTCTCTCCCTCTCTCTTATGTAAACATCTTCATTTTCTTATTTCTTCTACTCTTCACATTTTCTTGTACGTTTTCCTTATGCGTTCTTTTTTTTCTAATTTTCATAACTTCTTTGCTGCAGTAACTTTGGTCAGAGTTACGTTGAAGTCGCCGATGTAAATTACGAGGCTAAAGTAAGAGAATGTGGTGGAAAGCGTCCATTTCAAGTTCTGATCAAGAATCGACCAGCAGTAGTCAGATACTACACATGTTGTTACGCGAAAGCATTTTTCGACGTCTCTTTCTACATCATTTCGCAAAAATTCTCAGGTCAGAATGCTAAGCACTTTAGGTTATTCAATTTGTCTTCTGTGTTCTTGAATAGTGGCGTGCTTTCTATGTTTTCTATGTCTTATACATAGGAGGAGCCGACGGATTCCTGGGAAAAATATATATGTATTCTTATGTCCCGAGCCAGCTGTAAGTCACAACTGGTTGTCAGTGCAGAAATTCAGAAAAAAAGAACTCTCCAGGCAAAGAGAATCTGTCAGAAAAAAATAAAAATTAAAAACATTTATAAGCCGTATTTGACCATAAAAAACGTCATTTCAGTCTTTTTTGTCCGATAAAACGTTTGCCAGGAACAAAATTCGAAGGAAGGGCGTTCCATTGCTTGTGAAATTGTCAACAACGTAGCTCAAAATCCCTTTCCCAGGAAAAAAAATCGTACAAGAATAGTTATTTAGAAGAACAGAACTCGTCGGCTGCTCCTATATACACATGGTATCAGTAATTATCTAGTAGACTTTAAAGTCAAAAGGAAAAAAAAATGACATATTGATATCTTTTTCGTGAGTACTACCTGGTTTATGTCTTGGATAGGGTCTACAATTTACGAGTTTGTCTTGAATAGGGTACGGAGTTTCACGATTTTGTCGTCTTGAATAGGGTCAGGGTGCAGAGGTACCAACAGGGATCACAAAATTAAGTGGGACCCAATTTTTTGCCATTTATGAGATTAAGTTGGTCCCATTTTCTTTTCAACCCGAGAACAGTACGCATGGATATTTTGCCAAGTTTTATATTTTATGGTAAATCTCACTACTGCTTCTCTATTTATTTAAAAGGCTTGAGTGCAAAGACCTTGAAACCTGCTTTAAAACAAACCAAACCCGGTGTAATTACCATTGATTGGGATCCTTTGAAAGGTTCAAATGCAGATGCGTGGAAACCTGTTTTGAAACAGCAAAAACCTGTGCCATCAAAGAACTATATTGTTGTACCGTTGTATAACTTTACTTCGAAAAGGGAGCCCTTCTTGTACATCATTGAGAGTAGAAATGATACATCGATAGCAGTGGAAAACCTTAAACCTGCTACTTCATACACGTTTAAATTCATTGCTTTCGATTCTACAAACACAAGAGGACCCTTAATTGTAAGCAGTACAGCAACTGTCCTAACCAGAAACGGTACGCAATGAAAATTATATTTAACTTTATAGTTTAATGCACACATAGAAGGTATTTTTGTTTTTCGTTTCATGTGTAAATTAATGGTTTTGATTGACTTGTGTCGTTCCTGAGGATTGTTTGAAGAATTTTGAGTAATCGGACTCTATTGTTGGTTGGAGGATCGGATCTGTATGTAATGGAGCATATCACATGAGTTTAATGGTATATATAGATAGAGGATATAGCATGGGCGCGCGGCGATATACGGATGTATCTCTGTAAATTTGTATTTTCGCGTACCCATGTAATATTCTGTTTATCATATAATTATATGCAAAGCAAATTGCCGTAAAATACCTTTTATATTTCCAATATATAGAGAAACCTCGAATGTGTTATTTTAACTAGTGAATATTTTCACCAGTTAAATTAACAACTTTACGAAAAAGATAAATATCAGTATTTGCAGTCTCCAATGCAGTCTCTCAACAAACCGGAGACCTTACAATATACTTTTTTCGTTTTTCAGGCACGCTAAGGCTTATGGGTGGACAACTTTCCAACCAGGGAAGAGTAGAAATATACAAATATGGTTGGTGGAAAAAAATATGCACTTGGAACCATAATTTGAATAACAATGCAGCTAGTGTGGTGTGCCGATCACTGGGTCTAAGCCATCCCACTTATGTACTTAATTACAGAGCATTTTATGGGACGTCATTTCCAATGCATTTTGTTGAAGATTTTCGTTGTACAGGAACAGAAACCAGTCTCGAAGAATGTTCAAGTACTGATCCATCATCAAGATGTCCTTACTACTTACGGACGGCTGCTGTGGCATGTGGTTATCCACCAGGTAATTTATAATGCATAATTTATAATTCTAAGGGTTAGGTCTCCACCTTTCCCCCTGCAGACATCCCTTTCATTTGTTGTGGCTTTTGCTTCATTCCAATTTTTCCATCCTTTGTTGACCCGTTCTCTCAAAACTGTTCTTCTCCAAGTATTCTTCGGACGCCCTCTGCTTTCTGGTGTCCGTTCCAAAGCTGTCAAACAATCATTTTCACTTTCTCCTCGTCTAAGGATATGACCAATCCAGTTCCATCGCCTATGTCTTATTTCACTGATAAGGTTCTCCATTTCTGATATGTCTCTGACCCTCTCATTTGGAGTAATCTTCTCCAATCATCTAATCATCTAATCCTCCGTATATATCTCAGACATCTAGTTTCAAAACTCTTCAACTTCTTTTCGTCTTTTTTAGTGATTTTCTACGTTTCACATTCGTATAAAAAAAACTGGTTGAAGTAATGAATGAAATAGCTATTAGTGTTAAGGATATTTTCTCACGACCCAGTGTATAAATAGTCATTCCACTCAATTGCGTCGTACATGGGTGATAGCCATCTTGTTCGGATAGCCGCCCGATAATTGTTGTAACCATCAAGTGGCGTTTCATTTAGAAGACAAAACAATAGATTTTTTCCCTCTTAGTGATCATAATCTATTGTTTTGTCCTCCAGCTGGAGCTGCATTGGCTACAAGGGATATATTATTCTAACCGTTGAATAAATATTCTTTAGTTTTCCATCGAAATATTAGTGAAATGAGTGGTGCTATCACAAGTCCTGGATATCCATGGTTCATGATGCAAACAGACTATCGTTGGACATTCACACAAAACATGACACGTGGCCGTGTTGCTTTATATTTTGAGGAGCTGGATTTAAGGCGATATGGGGGGTAAATTTCAAACTTTTAATTATGTCGCATGAAATCGGCTCATCTACAATTATTTTATTGTGTTCACTGGAAGTAAGGTTATTAAAGTGCAAATGAACTCTATTTTTTCAAAGTTCAGGAAAACCACCATGGAAAAATAAAATATGTCTTGGTGCCTTCATGGAAATTGGTTAAAAGCTCGCTGTTTTGTGTATAATTAAAGTTAATAAATTTTCGATAATCCCCAAATGGTCGGGAATTATCATAGGGGCCTGAATCGAGCCTAGTACAACCTCTACTAAGGAACAAACGTTCTCACACCGCTTGATATATTGACAAAAAAAACAAATTGTTGAAAGTTGGCTAATAATTCTAAGGCTATTATAACAGAAATGGATACCTTATAATCTCCGCCATTTACTTTGAGAGTCCCCGGAAATCCAAGAGACGATTCCTAAGTTGACGTCACATTCGCACCATGCCCCTGATTTTTAAAAGAGAACACATTTTTCCGAACTGGTGGGAAATTCAAAATAACGTTAAACATAGGGAATTCATCCAATTGAAAATCTTTTTGCAGCAAGTCACCATTTTAAAAGTCTGGATTATCCTACAATTTAAAAAAAATGGAGTTCATTTGCAGTTTAAAAAAAAAATGATATATGATGAATGATAGTACTTTAACTGACACTGATCGCTTTAGGTCCAGTAGAGTTACAATCCAAGAATCATCATCATTATCGTTCAGCAAAACGTATACCAGTGAATATCGTGGCAAACCTGGGATGGTGATCAATTTACCAGGCCAACTTAGATTCTATTCACCGTATACCTCAAATCGTGATAACCGTGATGGTCGAGGGATGCGAGTTCGATTTCTTGTTTACAATGAGCCTGAAGGAGAAGGTAAAATAATAATATCTCAATCTTTTCACTGAACAGTTTTTAAGGTTTTACTGGGTCTACATAAATCGCCAGTTAACATTTTTTTTAAATATATGTTGCCATTTATTCTAAAGGCATTCTAACACCGAGGAAAATGGGGAGTTTGTTACTGATGTATAAGACGGCGCCAAAAGGCATTTTTTTGCGAAAAATCTACCCCGACGTATGAATTTGAATTCTCGAAAACTTCTAACAAACCAAAACAGAAAACTGTTTCAAACGATAGTGGGTTCTGAAAACTTGGAGATAAAATAAATGACAAAATAATAAATAAAAAAAAAAGAAAATTTAAAATAAAATACTAGTAGTGAAAAAGGCAAATCAGAGAAGCAAGACTGCCTACAATTCTCGACATACTTGTTTAGATCAATGCATATGAAGAGTACTTTGCTATCCTCCTTTGCTATCCCCCCCCCCCCCCCCCCCCCCCCCAAAAAAAAAAAAAGACAAACATCGGGAAACCTAGTTCATTGTCTTCTTATTTTACAGTACCTACGTTAAATAATTGGAAACTATCATTATCAAGCAACCATTATACCAGAATTACTGCTAATTGGACTCAAGTCGTCTTCACAGGCTACGGTATAATCGGCTTTGTGATGTCCTGCAATTCTTCACAAGATTGGGCAAAAGAAGTATCATATGCAGTTGGAGAGGGCAATTCAACATCTTTAAACTGTAGTGAACTGATTGGATATACTCAATATAATGTACACGTGTTAGTGCAGCTAAGAATGCAAGGGAAAGACATCTATAAGATATACCAGAGCTTAGTGGCGTCCTTAACAACTCCACAGTCGTGTAAGTATCTTTGTTTTTCTATTTTAATTTATCAGTGCTACGCATTGCTTGCCATTATATGGCCGTCTTCTAGTGCTTTTCGCCAATGAAAGAGAATCCAGAAAACTAAAGGATTCCTTATTCCAAGCGCTGAATTCCAGATTCCGAAACGTTGGATCGTTGGATTCCGGATTCCAAGCCTTCACATTCCGGATTCCAAAGAATTTTTGTTTTTGCATTCTGGATAATAAATGGCGTTTTTGGATTTCGAAATATAGTGGATTCCGGATTCCAAAGCTGTTTTACTGGATTCCGGATTCTCTTTAGGCTCAGTCTCCAGTCGTCGGGATTTCGTGCGCCCGCGATACTCTCTCCCCTGACGGCTGGGCGCATGGGGTTCGAAACGTGTCGCGCATGTCCGTGACGTTTTTGTGTAATTAGCATATTATGACGTAACGGAAGTGAATTTTTCAGTGAACGGAAGTGAAATATCTGACAACAGCCGTAAAGGTTTTGCTACAAGGCGGGAAATTATGTGAAATGAAAACTTCGCGAAGTAGCGATATAATGTAATAGTTAGCGCTTTAAAAAAGAGAAAGGAATGGAAATTACCCCAAGTAAAACATGTGCAGGGTTTAATAATCCAAATGGATGTATTATCTGCCAGAAAAACGAGCAAAATACACTAGTGGCGCTGTTTGAAAAATAAGAGATTTGCCCGAGCCAGTATAGGAAGAATAACAAGGACATCTTTTCCAAGAACAATCTCTTTAAGAGCCTTTTGCTGTATTTCTCTAAATTCGTCCAAGCTAAACGACTTCAGAGCCTTCAAACAAGCACTTTCAAAGAGAATCTCAAACGACGAATTGTACGCCATTTTGTTACACTGCTGCCTGCTAATTTATTAATGATATGCCCCTCAAAATATCGGGGGCCACTCGCTGATTGGTCAAGACTGACAATAGCGAACC